AGCTAACCACGCTAACGCCATGCACGGCCTGTAATCCTTTCATTTTCTCAAAAATCGACAGCACGCCTTATATATGAATTCTGGTTGTGCTTGATGACCGCGAACCAATTTTCTGTGGAGCACGGCGCTCAGCAATCTGTTAAAAAATGTTTTAGTTTGACTTTGCTACGGAGCTGCAGCGACTTGATGGATTGTCGGAGTGTTACGGCTGCTGAGGAGCCTCGCGGAGTGATACGTACTGTGCTTCAACATAATATTACCGTATTGTTTGTGTATAAGGACCATAAATGGCACCTGTTAAGAGACACGGTTATGAAGCGGATTTCAAACTCCAGGCTGTCAGTCACGAACTGTGAAATCTTTGTTATTATGCTCAGCGTCTTTTAGTTTACATTTTGACTGCACAATTGTGAGCTCTTTGTTATGCACAAAAACAACATTGTTTTCTTTTATTTATGGAGCATTATTATTTAATAAATGCTCATAATTTATTTTTGAGTAGTTTTTTTCATGTACATCTGTGCTGTATGTTAATAAAACAGCTTTGACTAAGAACTCTCTTTTTGTTCTTACTTTATGGCTTTAAAAAAATATCGAGATATGAGTTTTGGGTCATACCGCCCAGCCCTAGGTCAAAGGTCACAGTGTTGTGTGCAAATGAAGAAACAGGTCGATGAGAAGAAGAACTACAAGTACACATTTTATTGTGCTGACAGTGGTGTGTGTGTGTTTCAGGTGACCGTGTTGATCTACACTGACCTGCTGCTACTTACCAGAGAGGATGAAGCTGGACGCTGTAACGTCCTGCAGAGTCCGGTGTTCCTGAACACATTGAAGCTCAGAGAGGGTAATAAGATAAGATAAGATAAGATAAGATAAGATAACTCTTTATTGTCATTGCACAGTCATACATAGTACAGTAGTACAATGAAATTGGAAAAACTGTCCTACGTCGGCACTACATATAACACAACACGACACGATATGACACATCACAACGTAACAAACAACACAACACAGTATATTAACTTAGTATAAAAAAGAAGAATAAGTGTATGTGTATTGCACACTGTTATTATTGCTATTATTATTATTAATGCTGCGTTCACTGTCATCTCCGAGCATCGGTTTTTCTCTGTAACCTGCAGCTGGCAGGTTTCTGTTTAATGTCAGAACACATTGTTGTAATCCACATTTGATTTTCATTTCCTGGTTCGTTGTCAGCTGATTGACCAAGTAAAGTATCCACAGCACTATAACCTGTTCAATTTAACTTTATTTATACAGCACCAAATCACAACAACAGTCGCCTGAAGGCGCTTTATATTGTAAGGTAGACACTACAATAATACACAAGCTGCATACAGGGCTGGACTGGGACAGAAAAT